TGTCAATTAGTAAATGTGTGAATCGTGCGTAAGATGATTTACAACTTTCGTTATTCGTATTTTTTAGTCTCAATGGATCGATTCGTGACGATTATATTAAGATAAAAGAATGTAATATAGAGCTACAATTATCTTATACAATTTTGAATTTGAGGTATTACAATCTAAACTTGATTTATAAATTTTTTAAAATGATTTTTCAAGTCTATTATTTTTCATGACTTTGATGAATTTTTTTGTAATATTTTTAATAATTTATGATAATTTATGTTTTTATATTATATAATAATATATCATATATTATGTTTTTCAATTTTATTTGAAATGTTTGTTTAATTTTATAATAAATAAACAATAAAATAATTTTGGAACGATAATTTAATTTTTATTAATTATTTATTATTTTTTTTATTCTCAAATTCTGAAATTCCTTAAATTCTTCTATATGATAAGAAAAATTTGGAATATATTATTATTCGTCGATTATTATTTATTAAGTTATAAGCAATTGAAATTAGACGAATCGAGAGATAGAGCGAGACAAGTCTATCTTCGTCCCACTGTCGCTCTATTTTCTTTTTGCTTCATCTAACGCAAACTCTAATTATTTATAATTTAATATAATATCATAACTTTTGTATTTGTTTTGATTCTAGAATTCTCTAAAAATGAATATATTCTGTATAATTTTGAATGAGAAATTTTGAAAAAAATTAATAAAAATTATCATTTCAAAATTATTGAATTGTTGATTTTATATAGATATCATTTTATATATATATAGATTAAAATATATAATACTAAACAAGAAAATATTGGAATAGAAAATGAAACAAAATATTTATTTCAAGTAAAATTGAAAATACAAAATTATTGGAATGACAAATGAAAATCAGCATTTCTTTCAGGTTTAATAAATATCACGAATAATTTTTACGAAAAGAAGTTAACCTTTAATTCCATTTTAAGAAAAGATCAACTCGCAATATCAAGAGTCAATAAAATTACGCATACATTCTTTCTCGAAAAGAAAGTTCGTTTTCGTTATGTGATATGTGTAATACAAAAATTAGCATGAATCTGATCTTCTACAAATTTTCTACAATCACATTAATATCGATTTTTCTTTAATAGAAAATAATAGATTTTTACATATAAATAAATATTACAAAAAAAATATAAAACAATGTATATATAAATTCTAGAAAAATATAAAATGTAGAATATAAAATTATTATTTTTATTTTAAAATGTCAAATCTGTGTTTCATAACAATTTTTTTATCCTTCATTAAATCTTAATAAATAAATATATATATAATAAATTTAAATGATCACTTATGTATGTGAAAGTAATTAAAATAAAATTACTCAAGAATTTTATTCGTTTCAAAACTTTGAAACTTTCGTTTCGCATAAAATTTTTGAAAGTGAAAAAGATTTTTACTAAAGATTTATCATTTTTTATTTTATCGATTATTCAGAACAGAATTTCTCAAGATTTGACGTTTTATACATTATGTAATAATACATTTATTGTATTATAAAATTATATCTTTTAAAATCCCTAAATATTGTACACATACTTTTAAAAATTAAAAAAAAATATAATAATATAAACCAAAATGTTTAAATTGATTTCAAATACTTATAATATCTAATAAAAATGTACAAATAATATATAAATTTATAATATTTTAATATATTTTATTTCACTGAAATTTTAATAAATTATTTTAGTTTAAAAAAAAATTTTTCAAGATGCAAAATAATAAAATTATTTATTATAAAAAATTATATATAATTATATAACTCATAAAAAAAGAACAAACAATAATAAATTTTTTAAATAATGTATTGTAAATCCATTTATCGACTTGATTCCACAATAATAATTTCATTTTCTTTTAACAATGAAATTTTCTTAAATTTAAACGGATCATGTCACGATTTCTAAAATTTCTTTATTCTCTAACACAAAGATGTAAGAGCATAAAAGATATCGTGTAAAGTGATTTCGAAACTCTTTTAAAGAAGTTACTTTTTCTCTCTCTCTCTCTCTCTCTCTCTCTCTCTCTCTCTCTTAATTTTCATTTCTTACATTTAAAAGTATATCCAACATCGGCTTGAGAAGATTGTTCATAGATATCGATGACGTGCCTTAGTGAATCACGCACAATCGCAACTGTCGTTTTCTAACAGGGTACTTGACATTCCTAAGGAAACGAGAATTTATTATAGCTACGTACATATTTCTTATGTTTTCTATAAAAGAGGAGTCTTTCAGTATATAATTCATCGTTCCTTTGAGCGATTTAACCGAATGATTTATCGGTTGGTTTCGATTATAGTCAAGTCCAGTGATTGTATAAGGAAGATGAAAGCTTCTCTCCTATAAGTGGAAATATGATTAATGCGATCGGACACTGTTATGAACTAGTTTTTAAGTTAAGCTGTACTCATGCTTTTGTATATATCACTGGGAGGACATTCTCTCATTTTTCTTTGAGACATTAGAACAGGAATGGAGGAGAACATTAATCACAAAGATATAAATATTTAATCGATTCATCTTTACAGTCTTTAATATTTTATAAATATATATTGTTAATTCGCAATCGTGGAAGGATGTAAATGTCAATAATAATGAATATGCGATAACGATTGGATTAGAGAGAAATTTTTCTCTAACGGAGAAGCAACTCACGAAGAAAAGAAAAAAATATCATAATTAGTAATGTTAATAAATTAATATTTATCGCTAATCAACAGTTAACATTCCAATCGATTAACATTGATTACTAATTAAACAGATGCGCGATGCACATTCAATCCCAAGGTGATGGTGACGCCAGTCTATGGTATGTTTAAAATAGAATAGAAAGATACACAGAAAGTATTACAAAATACCTTCACTTTATGCAGAATCAAGAAAAGTGAAATGTGTGGAATAAACGAAGAAACGAGATACAAATGCAAATATGAATGATAAAAATGGTGGAATGTAAATTGCGCGTTGAACGTTATTTAAACAAAATAGGAAAATAAATCGTGATATAGTAATTGCCATTACCATTTATGTAAAATTCTACTGTAATCGTTGTGAATTTACTTTATATGTACATCCTTTTTAGAAAAGATTGCTTGAAATTGAAATAAATCTGGAAAATGATCATTGAATGATTATTGATAAGAAAATAGAACAATTTTTTATTTCTTTATGCTATTTCTTTATGCTATTTGCTCCTGGATAGATTATTTTCGTTTGGATATCTTTTTGTGTGTGAGAAGAATTTTGGAAAAAAAAAACATGATTATAATTGTAAAAGTTTTCAGATTCATAATTTAATAATATTTAATTCATAATTTATAATTATAATAGTTAAAACGAAATTCATCAGATAATCTCATTATTGAGTTAATAAATTCAAATATTTCAACAAAATAATTTATTTGTATTTCATATTGTATTATATGTAAAATCAAAATAATAAGATATACGAAATAAATTATCATTTCTAACTGTTATATGTTATTTTATTTCGAATAAAATACATACCAATTCCGTTGAAACGACTAAATATGATTTGTTTGTATAATAATTAACGAGAGAACAATACAGAATAAATAAGATTATTCATGATATTCAAAAGATACAGAATTTTTTTCGATGATATCAGTATCTAAAGTATAATTAAATCCAGATTATCTCGTCGATAATTCCGAAGAAACGTAGGATTGCAATCAGTATTGATCACCATGATTAAGTAATTAAATATGCAACAAACTTGATTTAAATTTTAACGATAAAAATGGAAATATGAAAAATATTTGTTTTTTTATGATTTCTTGAATTTTCTTTAATAAATATTTATTATCTTTAATAGAATAAATAGATTTATAAATAATTTAAAAATGCTTGTAAAAATTGATGTTTTATAATGATCTATTTTATTTTATAAATTAACATTTTAAATAATTTTTAATATAATATTAGCTTCTCTTAGCAAATTATTAAATAAATTATAATCTCTTTAGCATAAAATATATTACAAATTACAACATTAAAAACATTTATATTTTTAAAATATATTTATATTTTTAAAATATATTATATATATAAATTATATATATATATACATATATTAAAAACATTGATTTTTAAATTTGTAAAACTTTCAAAATTTAGAAAGCTTATTTATTATTTCTCTCTTTTCTTCTAAAAAAAAATATATATTATCGATACTAAAATATCAACAAATTTTGATTTCTTTGATCTATAATCAACTTTATATACATACATACAAATTTAAGTCGATAGTTAAGTTCCCTCTCTCAATTTTCAAAATCAGATTTTTGTTAGATAAATAAAGCTTAATAACTTTATTCCTATAAATTATCGTTTAACTGTATATAACTTGTTAATTTCCAAAGAATTTCAAGATTTCGAGATTTCCCAAAAGCGCACGTATACATCCAAACACACACACACACACACACATACTTACTCGTTATTTCATTATTTCAATCATCACCTCTTTACCGATCAAATCTCAAGCTACGCGGTTCCACGCCCGGCCACATCAAATTATCCCATAATAATATAAGACAGAGGCGATATAAATCACTGTCAAGCGTCTTCCTCGACCTCTCACCTTCCATTACACGTTTCGGTGGTACCAATCTCGCGCCGTGCCCCGACCGGTTTGCCACCGGATCGATATATCACAAAGCAACCCCCGAAATCCACAAAATCCGATAAACCGGCGAGAAATACGGCCCTTGAGCCAACGCCGCTCATCGTTCGTGATACTCGCCGTTAAAGAAATTATGACAATTGAGTAAGCATCCTTTAACGGGGACCCGATGACATTTAGCGCAATGTGACATGCTGATCCCCGGGAAGGTAATCTCTCTCCAGGTGATGTACAGTGTGTTGTTGTCCCTGCACACGTCTCCCCGCACACACACGCACACGTACACACATCGCGCGCGCGTTAAATGAGGATCCGTGTAACCCCTCTTAAGGCGCCTCTGCCTCTGTGTCACTATGTCTCCCTCTCTGTCACCCACGTAACCGGCTCTCTGTCCCCCCGGTGTGTCGCCGTGTCCCATGTGCGTCCTCTTAGGTGCACGGTGGCTATCGTTACTTGGCCAAATGGTCGTATTGGTGATGCCTCCAGGGGTATATATACGACGAGCGCTGCGGGGCTTGATAAACACTTGCCCATCAGCGATTACTGCTGCAGCATGTACACGTCACTGGTAAGCGTAATTAAGAGACAGGGAGAGATAGATAGAGAGATTGAGAGAAAGAGAGAGAGAGAAAGAGAGATAGAGAGATTGAGAGAGAGAGAGAGAGAAAAATCGCAGGTGAACAAAGATCAGGAACGAGGAGATCTAGGGTGAATCTCGCTGGGGGTGTTGAAGGTTTGGTCTGACCGTATCGGAACTAGTGAACCCTATAATACGGGAAGATTCGTCGAGTGCCGTCGAAATCCGCGTTCTACGCGTTTTTTTTTCTGTGCGCGATTGTGACATACAACCGTTTGTCTGTGCCGTTTTGAACCGACCGATTCGTGGACGTGTTTCTTTTCTGGGATGGATGTTCAAAGAAAGAGGGTCGAGAGTAGAGAGGTATAGTGAGTAGAGAGGATAGATGAGTGTATCAACCCCCTCAAGGATATCGTCGTGAATCACGACGCATCGTGCGCGTATGTATGTGATATCTGGATTTGGATTTCGAAAGTCTCTTAGATAATCTTATTAAATTATGTATCGCGTTTGTTTTGATTTTTGTATTCATAATGTGAATTAACAATCTTTCGTTTTTTTGATTAATTAATTTTATCGATAATTTTTCGCAAAAGAAATCTCGATTTAATATTTATTTATGTATTTATTTATACGATTATGTAAATTTACACGAAAAAAATATCGAGAAGTTTTCGGGATGATATATTTAACGAACTGAAATTTTAAAAATTTCGATCAGGATTAGATGACAATGAAGAATCTTTAGAGAAGATTAGAATGAATAGATGAGAAGCATATATAGATAATAATAATATATAGATAATAGATAAATAGCAAAGATGATTGAGAAATATAAGGATAAAAGAACATGGGAAAATATAATTAAATTGCAAATTAAAATTTTTATGAAACTTAAAACTAAAGAAATAAAACGTGATTTTCTTTTTATGCTTTAAACATAACTTCACTTTGGATATTTTCTATTTTTGTTTTTTTTATCATGTGTATTTTTTATACAAGATGGTAATATATTTAGAGATCAAAATAAACACAATACATATAAAAATAAAACTTAATCGAGGCTATTTATTATTTTCTGTCTATGATATACTCTCAAATTTAAATTGCTCATAATTTAATAAACAAGTCTTAACATTTTTATTCATCAACTCTATTTTATTTTTAGAATCGATTTTCCAAAAATATGTTACGAATATATTGGTACCCTATACAATAATTAATACAATCGACAAAGAATCATTCTATCGTAACAATTTCATTAAAAAGAAAATAAAATCTCGTCGCAGAGAAACGTATGAAACACTCGAATCGAGCGCTAGTAACAATCTATGTCTGACTTAATATAACTGTCGCACTACCGTCCGAATTATGGCTGACTCGAAATGGTATCACTACGTTGCGCTACGTTGTTTTCGACAATACAGGCTATTCGTGACCACTCGAAATTGAACGATAGACAATCTTGCAATCGATTTCTCGAATCTATATATCTCGATGCATCGTTTAAATCCAGTCTCGTAAACGCGCAATTACGCGGGAATCGCGAGGTAATTTATAGATGTTTAAACACAATAATGTGTAAACACTAGTATATACGGCGCATGCGCATACGCGAGAACATTCAGTGTCCGCCATACCTTGACGTCTTTACATGGTAATTCGAAGCAGTGTTTGTTTTACTGCTCAACTATAATGACCAACATCGCGTTAAGGATTTGTGCAAACTTCGAATTCGCTTAAATTGAATGCGTTGCCACCAATTTCAATGTTTCGCGCGGGAAATTTCAAATCGTTTCGTTGTATCATATATATAATATATACATTTAACTAAAATTATGAAGATAATTAGATATATTGAATCAAAATCAGTATTAATTTTATCAATGGTAAAAAAGAAAAAATCTAAAACTATTTCACTTAATTATAGTGTTAACATTAGCGACAAACATTAGAATCATGTATTTAAATTTAGTTTAATATCTTTAATTCTATTACAATAACATATATAATATTGAATTGAAATTTTAGTACACTTACAATTAATTATAAACGAGAAATAAATTCCATTCACCGCGGATCTTAATTTCGTAAGAATATTCAGATAAGCATCGATCTCTCCTCGTCCCAGCTTCTTCAAACTAACTAAAACACTCTTGTCACTTTTTTCTCGAGCTAAAAGTCGTAACAACGAACGACACGAAGATCGTGGATCCATTTTGAATAAACGCGAGCCAATAAAACGAGCCAAACGAGTCACGATTCTGATCTTTTCCCCAGATAACCGTGATCGCGCTTGCAGGCTGCGTGGCAGCCGCCCCCGCGGAGGAGGTGATACCGATCGTGGCCCAAAGCCAGGAGGGCCCGAACCCAGACGGCTCGTACAAGTGGAGCTACGAATCCGGAAACGGGATCAAGGCGCAAGAGGAGGGCCACTTGGAGAACGCTGGCCAAGAGAACGAGGCGATGAACGCGCAGGGAAGCTTTAGTTATCCCAGTGACGACGGCCAACAAATCTCGTTGACGTACATAGCGAACGAGGAAGGTTTCCAACCGCAGGGCGCTCACTTACCGACCACGCCGGAAATACCGCCCCTTATCCAGAAAGCGCTCGATTGGATAGCTGCACATCCGAGTAAAGAGGACCAGAATCAGGTATAAAGGATAGTACGTGCGTCGTCAGTGATCTCAGCGAGTCTGCAATTCGATCCAATCCCTTTTGTACTACGGATTAAATTTTTTCNTTTTTTTTTTTTTTTTTTTTTTTTTTTTTTTTTTTTTTTTTTTTTTTTTTTTTTTTTAACGATGAATCGCCCTCCGTCGTCGTCACCTCTTGCCGCCCGTTCTTCAAGCTCTAACGAAATGCGTATATCACTCTCTAATGGTTCAATATGTTTGTAAATAATTTATTGTATACTTTTTACGGACTCATATATTGTATACATTTATGCATTGTATATTGATATATTTTATGTCATTATTTTATATATATATAATAAAATATATATATATGTATCGTGTATATTGCGTGTATTGTAACGCGTCTAAACGCGACCACGTAGAATCACGGGTAACGAGCATGTAGATAATCGTTCCCGGACATTACGATGCATTACGGAATAAATGTTGCAATTCAAGTGATAATTTTGTCTTTATACCTAACCATTTATGAGATTTTATAATTTTTTTTTCTTTTTTTTTTTTTTCGTTAAGATATTTTCAAGAGGAAAGGAAGAGGAGAATTATAAATATCAGTTTTATGAAACTTATGATGAACACTCTTTTTTAATATTCTTTATTTTTGATTATACAATTATTATATGATAATAATTGAAGGTAAGAATATCAGGAGAATAAGAATTGAACAAAAAATCTTCTTTATAAATGCTTTGTGAATTTATTATAATTGAAATATTAAAATGCGCACAAAAATGCATAATTCTAGGACAATTTTAAGCTTCAACAATTATTTGTATTTGCAACGATAATGCTCAACTTAAAAAAATATCGAATATCATGTTCTTTTGTAATAATTAAATTTTGTTTACATTCTTTGAACAAGAATAATAGATAGTAAAAAGAATCAGTGAATACCTATTAGAATATAAATTTTAATTATACCAATTTGTCAAACTTCTTCATGTTTTCTTTTAATTCAAATGAATGCAAATCCACTGCATCAGTATACATACATATTTCATAATAGCAATATATACTTTAATTACAAGAAAAGGGATTTGCAAAAAATTTTAATCCATTTCTCAATGTTTTTTCATTCATTTTTTTTTTAATCTCTGTGATTAAATCTCGTTCAAGTAATCCGGATCATTTTTTACTTATATTCCTGGCAATATAAATGGCAGGATTATTAACTATAACCCAGATATCAACCACTTTTTGATTAAAGTGATTCAAGCATTAAAAAGATTTTTATCTAATAAAAAAAATAATAAATTAAACTAATATAAATGATATTGTATCAAATAAATAAATTTCACGATATCGATAAGTTAAAAAATCAACGTACAGATGCAACAATTTTATCCTGTTCGAAGAAACACAGTTGTCGAACAGTCAATGTTAACTTTAATCGTAACTTTATATCAAAGCAGTATTTATTCCTTGCCCGGAATTTATCTAGTTTGAAACTGTTTGGCCGGATCAAATATAAACACAAATTGGATTAAGGCTAGTTTACAGTCGCTTTGGGTCACGACAGGTCAGTCCAGATGCAATCCAACAACTATAGAGATGCGCTGCAACTGCACGAAAACTTCGACTTCACCTTCTCTTCACCATTTACATTTCCTTCTTATTTACAATTCCAGTCCAATTTTCTATTATTCAATCGAATTGTTACGTCAATAATTTTGTCTTAATCGTGCAATAACTGATTCATATCCTAATATGATATTCGTTTTCCTTACTATTATATCATAAAATTAAATTGTAAATGTAAATTTCTTTGGAACGTTTAATTATATAATCTAAAACAATGGATCTTAATCTTTTATTATTTATTCATCACAAACTTTTTTAAATATTTTAAATTATGTATTCATCGTTGATTGACGATTAAAGATAAATTTTGTGGAACAGAAATCGTCGTCAATAAGATTGCTTATTGACAATTTCATTAATACTATTTGAATATATTATGATATATTTTTCTTTAAATACATAAAATTACATTAATTATATATAAATTATTTCTTTAAATACATAAAATTACATTAATTAAATAATTTTCTGTCATCATAGATTAAAGATTAAAATTTAATTAAATGTGTACTATGTATATACATTTAAAATAATGTTCATCAATATTTAGTATTTATATTTGAAAGCGAATTTCAAATTTAGTTTCGTGCATGAGAACTTAAAAGTAGATATTTGAATCTATGAATTTTTTCGAAATTAGCTTAATCATAACTTGTTAATAAGATACAAAATCTAAAGTATATTTTAATGTGTCGTTCCATGGACTGAAAAAAATAGTCATCATAGGATCAAATATGAAACAGAAATTTAGATTGGTTCTTCGATTTTTCGAAGAATTTGATCCATTCTCGTTCGATCCATGCATTCTGTGGTACGTACTGATTTACGATAGAAAGTTTCAGCACGATGCGACATAGTACAACGTTTTAAGCACGTGCTCGTTGTAGACTCGGTTTGCCATCATTAATCAATCGTGATACCACGGACATAAAGGACGTCCTCGAGTAATTTATTGAAAGACGATGGGTGTACGGATAACGTGGACTCGTTTACCTTTCCTTGTATTTTCTTGTGAATAAAATGACAAATATATCGTATGAGAATTATCGAGAATCTCGTAGCAAGAGAAGGCTTGCTATTCATTTATATCGACTTGAAGGAAATTAAAAAAAAAAAAAAGAAATTGTTTATAAAGTAATTTACATTTTAACTTTATATTAATCGTAAGAACTAATTAAAGAAAAGAATATTTTATATGATAATTAATAATTATTCAATAGATAAATCTTTATTTCAATTTTTAATGAATTATTTTTGTTGAGGAAAAATCAAGAATCATTAAACAATTGAATGTAATTGTTAATATTAATTTTTGGAAAAATATCTACAACCAAAAGTATTGAAGACATTATTTATCATTTGAAAGAATTATAATTGTATTCCACATAATTTTTTAATCAATAAGAATATTTTTAAAAATAATTATAAAAATCGTATTCAAGTATATTTTGTAAATTTGGAATAATGGATCTAGTCAATCATTGGAAAAAATATATAAAAATTTCTTAAATGTGTAATGTTTCAAAAAAACTACTTTTGGTTTTAAAATGTTATGAAAAAATATAAAAGAGTACATATAAGAATAAAAAGTCATTAGCTTATCTTAATTGTTATTATCAGTGATTTAATATATACATATATTAAATAATTAGTCATATTTCCTCAATGGAGTTGTTTTGCATTAATTTCACACATTAATATCTTCCCCTTTGATGATGATTACACCTGAAACTTTCGTTGAACTTTCGCAGACGACAACATTATAGGTTTCTATTTTAATACCTGTAATATGTTTCACATTTACAATAGTATTATGTAATGCTTGATCGTTCCATCTTCTGTTGTCTGGTGGAAAATCATCTGGTGAAACTTTTATCTCATAACGATTGCCTTTTAGAGGAATCATTATAGTACTTGTCAAGAGACATAAATCATGCTTTAAACAAAGATGAATCGAATATATTTCGATAGTTTTCTAACACATAATAATTTTCCTCTTATACAATATCTTGAAATATTCTCTATTAAATTTAAATTAAAATACTGTGTAATAATATATAATTAATTATATTAAATTACATATCGAATTTTTATACAGATAAATATTAACTAAAAAAAAAAAAACATTTATAATTAACTTTTGTATTTGTTTTGCTTACTAGAATTTCCTTTTCAAAAATAACTCATAAAGACATACATTAATAAATGATGTATAAATAAATATAATTTGAATACTTTAAAAAAATGCTATTTTTTATTTTTTATTTTCTTTTCAAATATTAAAGTTTTATATAAAAGTGAAAGATCCAAGACTTTTTAAGAAATATATTATATGAAAGCATATAATATATCTTTCTTTATTATATGTTAATCGATATAATAAAAATTTTTGTTATTATATTATGACATACATATTTTTTTATTCATGTTTGTTCAATGTAAATAACATTTATATATTATAGTATTCACTTCAATTATGTTTGTCCATGTTTATGTTTACACCGATATAATAAATTAACATTGGTTTAAGTATATTCTCTCTTTAAACATCTTCAAATTTTATGGACAGGAAGAGAAAATATATTTTTGTAAGTATAAGATTCTGAAAATAATCATTTGAATATAAGGAAGATATCGTCGAAAGAAGAACAATTTCTCTGTTCATTTCTTTATCAAGTGTTATTGCATTCCGTTTCTTCATTGTGTCACGGCCCACGTTTAAGCATAAACGTGTCATCTCGGATCCACATCATAAACTACACTTTCTCCTTATCTTTCTTCTTTATTTTTTATTCAACTTCCTCTTAAACCGCATTTCTTTTTCATATCCTATCTTATATACTTGATTTTTATCGATATATATCATATGGATATAAAAAATATTTTATAAAAAGGAGTAAGTAATTATATTGATTTTTTATAGAAACAATATTATTTAATTTTTCGATATTTTTGTTTATCTTGCATTTATAATTAATTTCAATTCCATATTTATTTAAACAAATATTAAATATAATGATATTTTTTAAATTTATGAATTTATGTTTTTTTTATTCATTTTTATACACCAACAAGTTAATAATAATCAATTCGACGAAACTTTTAATAATAAAACAGCAAATTATATTAAATAATTTAATATGATTTAAATATTAGATCTATTTATAATATTAGTTTAATCTTTCTCCTATATTACTTCTGTATTTCAATAATTCAAATTTCATAGAATTCTTGTTAAATATCTTGAATAATGTGCTGGTAAATATTTATTATTAAATATATTAAATATTATAATTCTGCTGCAGCGCTATCTAAACGAGAATACATAATCACAGATTAAACGTATTAAATTTCGTCGAATAGCGCTATTCGTATTCCATTACAAATGAAATATCGATAATATTTGCAAGACTGAATTATGTATTTCGAGTTGTGATATTTGATAAGTATTATATATTATATAATTATTTATTTAAGAAAATATAATTATGTAATAAATATTATATAGAAAATATTTTATAGCATAACAAAAAAAAATTTTATCTCTAACATTTCTTATAAAGAAGTGAATTGCGTAATATTAGAAATTTATAAGGAAAAATAAACCAATTCTATATTTCGAAAATGTTGTGCATATTTCATTATCAAATTTCATGAATTTTTAAAAGCAATGTAAAAATTTTTTATTTTAACAATAAGAATATGTTGATTTTCTTCTACTGTATGCACATAAATATATTATAAGATAATAATTGAAAATTTAAATTTTCCATAATTTCTTCGTCATTATGAATACATATAATAACATATTTCTATAGTTAACCTATTATTTTATATAAGCATATATTTCTACAATATGAAAAGTGAGAAAAAAAAAGAAATATTAATGTAATATTTATAAGTTAAAACTACAAATTCATGAAACAATTGGTATTGGAAATTCATCAAATATGTAAATATTTAAAAACTAGTTTCTATTTATTTATTATTTATTTTATTTTATTTTAATTTATTTATTATTTAACAATACTTCTACATTTCATAAAAAGAGGAGACACAAAAAAAATTTAGAGAAATAGATAGGTATCTAAGATTTTTTTAAATTTTTAAAACGAAATAATTCAATTATTTTTATTAAACAATAATACTATCAGATATATTACATATTAGATCAATATAATTTTCTTTAATTATAATGTATTTAATTTTATGATTTTCAAAACTATAATTTTAATTAATATTAAAAAATTTTTTATTAATATTATACATATATTATATTTATAAAATTTTTCTATGAGTATGTATTTATTATACTTTCTTAAATAGCTTTAGATACTTTCAAAAATTTTATGTCACATGCACATTACTTATATATATAGAACATTTCTATAGAAAATTTATTATACTTTCTTGACTGACTGTATGCATTATAACACTCAATTTTAATTACATAATACTAAATACATATATAAACTTACTTACATTCATAAATTTTTTCCATGAAAAGTGTTCAAATATGTATTTATTAACTTTCCAAATCAACTTGTATATACTACAATCATTACAGCCACACTGTACGCTCTTCCTCAATGGGTAATACAGGTAACCGCAGAATGATGGAAAAAATGGCAGCAAACTTATGACACTTAACTATTTCCGCACAGCGCTTAAGACGCGCGTCTTAAGTCTATTTTCATTGCCGGTGCACAGGCAATTTAGCGAAACAATTCGTAAATAGGCGTAAAGACGGGGGCGTGCTGTTTCCTTGTTTACACGAACAGATGGTTTTCCGCGTCTACCAAGGCGTGTGTAATCCAAACGAACGAGGACAAGCTATGCAGCTGGTGCAGCGACCAACTTTCGTACTCTGACGCTTACGTAATATTTCTCTGTCTCCTTCGCCGCAACAACCTTCGACCTCACGACTTTCGTGGTATCGTGTTCCATCTGTCGCGAGCTATTTTGCCTGTAAATAGATCGCGGCCGAAATCCGCGCGTTGTTTCGCCGAGATTCCAACGCCTGTGACAAGCTGCAGGGCTGACATTTCCCTTTTTCTTTCATGTTTCTCGTTTCTCATGAACTAAAAACGAGTCTTGTACTATAGTGTGACGTTAGATTAATTATGATACGTGGATCTTAAGTCTTTGATTTGTCTTGGACTTTGAGAAAAATTTATTTTTTATAAATTATTGATAGATGATAGAATATGTTAATTATGATACATAGATACACATTTAGTGAATGATAATTGTTATTGTAATTTATTATTAATTTAGGTGATTTTTTGATATTTTTTTATGGCTGTGTTTTGATGTTGTTTTAAGAGAAAATATTAGAAAAAGTACTTAATATTGGATAAAAATGTATTTTCGACGCTAGGAGTAGTATAAGAGCCAGTAACTTAAATGATTAATTTTTTATTATTCTCTTTTAGTTTGTTTCTTATTGTTAGTAGTACAATAGAATCTCCATTATTCAAAATATATTGTTCATTATTCGACTATTCTAATATTTGAATATTTTATTAATTGAAAATTATATATAATAATTATATATAATTCTACTAAAACTAAAAAAGATTTCTAAAAAACTTTCATTTTTTTTTTCACTGTAATGATCTTTTAATATCTTAAAAAATGAAATATAAAATCCAGCTATATCACATTATGAAGATAAAATTTTAAATTAATAAGTAACAAACGTAATACTATTAGGAAGATAGATCTTTAATTAATCTAAATCTTTACTCTGGAGATGTGTGATATGTGTTTAGAAAGTATATTTATAAATTTAAAAAGCGTCAAGAAATCTTCTTTATAAATGCCATTTTGTAGGATCGTTTGAAGAAAACGAAAGGAAAATATTTCTTTGGGATAGAATTAAAATATTATTATGGCACAGATATTTACTCAGGTGTCAGTTATTTTTAATTTTAAGTTTTTTAATCGTACTATATGATAATTTACAACTACGCAAATTAAATATTAATAATATTTAATCACTTTCAATAATCAATGACTTTATATGAGCAAATAAATTATTTATTGTCCCCATAACTTATTGTTAGATAAGTACATATTTAAGATACAATTCTTTTTCTGAAAGTAATAATTTATAATTTGAATATAAAATATTTATTGTTAGATTATATTAACAATTTAAATAACATTGCAAGTTTTACAGATTCTAATTATATTAAAATAATAATAATAATTTAAAAGCATTTATTTTTTTCATATTTTCCAATATTTTTCTTTTTCATTATATTAATTTTATATTAATTTTGTGATTACATGATTGTAATACTTATAAAAAACACTTTTTTTTATAATTGAATACTTTTAATATACATATTGTTAAACATATAGATTTATTTCGATAATTAATATTTCTTTGTTGTTTCTTTAAAATTAAACTTCCATATTTTCTTTTATAAAATAACAATTTCTAGCTCCTTCAATATTTATCTTAATGCAATAATTTTTTATAAAAATGTCAATGCATCAAAGTTTATCATTATTATTCACAAATGATCCATAAGATTTAAATAATAAATAAAACTTGAAAAATAATATATGCATTAATTATTTTTTTGTTTCTTTTTTTCGAAATTTGATGAATATTTTCAATAATACTAATATCTACATTAGAGATTTAATGATCATTAAATCATAGATGAAACGATCAGTTTAATCGGACTCATGAGTGATATATTTCACTTATTACAATGCATGACAGTGTGTTTAACAAAATTCGAAATGTGATTAATGATTGCATATTATGATTAATGTAAAGTTCATAAGCTTTATGAACTTGCTTAATAATTACCATTTATAATAATCAGTATTTATGATTAATAATTAACCGAAATAATCGAAATTAATATAATCACAAGACATAATTAATTTAATAATTGTTAATCATTGCATGATTAAATGTTTTGTTATGATTAAATAATTAATAATTCTTAATAATCAATATAACAAATAATACTGAATCATTTTTGGAATATATGTATATGTTATTATTATTACTATTATTTTTTACAATAGATATATAAATATCTATTGTAAGTTTATAAATAGGTATTTTACTATATTATATATATTACGTTTGTTATGTTTATAATTGTAATATATGATTCTTTACACATTAGTACCAATCATTTATATCTTTATTAATTAATAGAATTGTTCAATTATGAATGAATATTTCTATTATTATGTAAAAAAAATGATTTTTATCTAATTTTAGCAAAAGATTGATGACACTAATATATCACATAAATATTATTTTAGTACGTAACTTTTTTTTATTATTATAATATCATATAATAATTATTTACTATTTAATCTTTATGTATGAAAACTATGTTATTCACGTTATAACATTTTCTATCAAAATATTTAGTTTAAATCAAATTAATTAATGATAAAGTGAGATCTATATAAAAAATTTTAAATATCCATTCTATTTTTCACGTAATTGAATAAGAAACATTCTTTCAAAATTACTTTATTACACAAGATAAATCATATGTAATATATCATCATCATCATTTACATCAGTTCTGCATATACATATAATTTTTCAATTCAAATATAAACTGTTAACGAGGGAATATAACATAGAGAATTAATAATACAAATCCACTAATGTTTAATATAAACGTATTTAAATTTATTATATCTTGATTTTTATAAAATTACGATACTATCAAATATAATCTATACAAAATTCACAATACTTGCATCTCTCGTGTAATAATTTAATTTACTCGTGACACGACAACGATATTTCGATAAAATTTTTTCACTTCGTAGAATCAACTTCTTCTCTCGAGTAAATAAACTTTCCCAAAAGAAGAAATACGAACTCTCAACTGATTTTTTCACGTCATAAAGATGAAACATCGGAAACTACAATCTATTCTTTTCTGGATTAGCAGCTATCCAGTCAAGAGCGCGTTGAATGAGGACTGGCACCGGTTGCGTGGATGGTGGAGTTGGCAGATGCGCCCCTTGAAAAGTGGCGCCATTTTCGTTGGCCAACCAGTCAATGTTGATCCTTGTTCCATCTGGAGCCGTCCACGAGGCTGATCCACGAACTTCCTCGGCTTCCGCATCTTTCTGCCCGCGATTCTTCAGGACACCCTCCTCCTCGAAAATGATGCCATTAGCGCTTTCCCATTTCGAGTGAAAACTACCATCCGGGCTGATGTCTTGGTTCTGTCTGACGATGGCGATCGGTTGGTCCGCGGCTAACACCATAGCCATTAAGCTTAATATGCAAATTGTGTGAAAATACATGGCGCAATTCTGTTCTGGAAAGATGTTCAAAAGGTTTTATTATTTTTATGTGGTAATATAAAATTATTCTTATTTTTAAAATTAAGTTATCAAGATATAATTATAATTATATTGTCAAGATATAATATTATTTAATAATTTCATTGTTATAGAATATTAAAGGATATAAAGTTATTAACGTAAATAAAAATTGAGAAACTGTTTAAATTTATTTTATATTCTTATTCAAAATTCATAGGATAATTTATTTTATTTTAATTTTATTCAAAAATAATATGTACATATTCAATATCCATAATAATTGAAATGAATAAGTTTTATTATGAATAGAAAATATGATTTTTGAATGAAAATATACATATAGGTTTAATAAATATTATTCAAGTAACAAAGTAATAGAATAATTGATTTTAAAGCAAATATTTTATGGTTTTTAAATGGAGATATATAAGATGTTAATATATTTATGTAGTTATTTTTGAAGAATCGATTCTAATGGTTTTTATCAATTTTTTTCATTAGAAGAGTGTTTACAAGAGTGTAGTACAAGAATTTAATCAATTCTTTATATGTATTTATACTTTGTATACAATCATCTTTATAAGAATTTTTATAGAAATATATAAATAATTTATTATTATTAATAATTCATTATGTAAATTTATTTTTAAATTTTTATAGAAAAATTATTATGTATTTATGAAAAAATCAAAATTAATAAAAAGACAAATAAATTTTTGAATAAACAATTTGAACTTTTCAATATAATAATTTATCAATTAATAACATTAAAATTTATTGACAAATATATTACAAATGTAGAATATCTTTTCTTGTGAGTTAAAATTTGCAATTAATTAATTAATTAATTAAAATGTTAATTAAAATGTTTTTGTTATCACAAAAAAATTTCTTATAATGTTTATCGTTTTTAAAATATAATTATATATTAATTATATAATGTATCATATGTAAGAACACTAATTGAATTATGCAAAAATTATATTTAGTTAGATTAGATAAAGTTTCTATTTATATAAGTCTATTTTTTTCCCATCAAATTCGTATAAACTTTATATATAAATAATCAAACTTTTTTTACTATATCATAATTCTATAATAATATTCATTCTTATTCAAGTAACAGAAATTCATACAGAAATTCTTCATTCAATTAATCCAAATGAATTCACATGTAATCATAAATGATTCCCACTTGAAAGATTCTTTCATCGATTAACAGCCAAGCATCTCGTTTCAAATGACAAGTGACCAATCATAAAATCATCTAATCTGTCTATCCGTTAAGGTTCATTAATTCATCACGGTTAAGCTCGTTTTATTAAAACGCAATGATTAGATTAAGCGCAGTAAAATGACATAAGTAGATGGCAACGATATGCGTGTTAATCAATGATCGATTGTTCGTATAACAGATCGATTTAAGATAGATATCGATAAAAGCCTATCGATTATATCCAAGTTATTAATTCTAACCTCGATTTGCGAATTTCCAGATAGCGGGTACAAAATCCTACTAGCGGGGACATCTCTATTGCCTCCACCTTTTATAGTACGAAGTACTCTCTGCTATCACCGACATTTTCCATTCAAATGTCATTCGGTGATACCGGTTCAACCTTCGTATGACCGGTATCATGCGTTGAAGATACCTTCCCGCAGTTGGATCAGAGAGACGAACAACCTGTAATCAATCCGCGCCTACATCGTCAATTAACTGTTACCTGTTGGTACGTTATAAATACGTAACTTGTGTATCGTACTATAAATATACGAAACTGGCCGACACTGGCAATTTCGAGAGCATTAAGCGGTGAATGAACGAGTTATTTATTCGTGCTTAAAGAGATTGGATATCGAGGCGTAATCATTGTGTTAACGTTAACATGTTCATGCAAGAAAGGAAGATTTTTTTTCTCGTATACGAAATAATTTTTGTTTATTGATACGACAACGTGATTATGTAACTTTTCGAAATTGATGTATTGTAATATATGTGTATATATATATATTACATAATGTATTATAATGGAGTATAATATATGAGAATATATCTGATGTATAATTACAGGAAATTTAACTTTTTAATTTAACTTTTTAATATAATAAAAAAAAAATAAGATTAAAAAAATAAGATAAAAAAAATATATAGAATATGTATATAATTACAATAATACGATAATACGATAAAATGTAATATAATATTAATCATAGAATATTATATGTATGTTGTAATTTTTTATTTTGATTTATTCTTTAAATAATATATAGAGTGATATTAATTCATATTACAAATAGCATTAGAAAGATTTTTTTTTAATATTTTTTTCAAATAGATAATTAATAATATTATTAATTAATATTTGATTAAGAATTTTATTAAAAAGTGCTATTATTGTCAATAGATAAGATTAGAATTCGATTATTCACTGAAAAAAAATCTTATTAAATAAAGAAATGTATAAATAAAATAAGCAAACAATTTCTAACTTTATATTATATTCAAAAACAATCACACTAACGCTTTGTAATGAAATTGAATGAATAAGATCAATTATAATATATACTATATATGATGAACAATCTGACTTTTTTATTTTTGATTTTTGAAAAAATCTGAAAAAGTTCTGAAATATAAAACATGTGGAATGTTTAAAATTTTTTGTTAAAGAAAAATTAATTTATGTTTATTCAATTAATTTTTAATTTTTATATTTTTCTTGAAAATGAAGCCTTTCAATTTTTATTTTGATTATCATTTTATTTCAATTATATTAAATACAATTATATTAAATACATCATTACAAAAGTAAATAACATCTATTTCTAATATCTCTATGCAAAATAAACAATATAAAAAGATTTTAATAATTAACATTTTCATGCAAATTGTTTTAATATAACCATATAATTTATCTACACATCATTAACATCGTTATTGAGGTAATAATATACATTATGATGATATACAATGACAAAACATTATAAGGCAAATAATATTCTTAAACAGGTTTATATATTTTTTTTATGCTTTTTGCTGTAAATATCATAAATGGAAATATAACAAATAAAAATAATATAAAATAATTTAATTATTAAATCTTATTACAAGATTACCACTTAATAATAGTTAAGAATAGTATTAAATTGTCAATTTATGAATTTAATTTATAATAAATTATAAATTATAATCGTAAATTATATATATTCTTTTTTACAATTTTATACATCAAATAAAATAATTAGACAACAATTTATAAAATTTATTTGTAAAAGTTCATGTGTTTATTGAACTTATAATTGATACCCAAGAAACTTAATTTTCATTAATATCTTTAATAAAACCATTAATACTTTTATAATATTTATATAATACACATTTTAATTTTATTTCTTGAATCGTTTTATATTTTAATAATTTCCATAATTCGAATAAATAAACATTTTATTATTTAATTTATGTAATTGTTCGATGATACAAAAATTAATTCTCATTTATTTTAAAATCATATTATTCAATGGATAATTTTAATAAAACTGTCTGTTAAATTTTATGAACAATTTATTTTGAAATATGAAAATTAAATTTAAAAATATTTTATTTTTTTTATGATACAAGTTTAATCATGAATGTTTATAATTATAATTATAATATAATATAAAGAGATTTATGATGAAATAATATATTCTAGATGAATTTATTGTTATAATTAGCAATAATACTTGATATACAAATAGTCGAAATAAATCATATTGTACAGATTACTTTATTTATTTATTTTTTTTATTACTTTTATGAACAATTGGCCATATTTTCTGATATAGTAGGTATACAAATAAAACAAGTTTTTGCTTTTATATTTTCCTCTATTCTACTATGATAGATGAACAAATATATCAAACATTTGATTTTACAATATGAGTGATCTAAAATCAAAAATTTATGTATTATTGTGAAAAATCAAACATATTCCATCATTCACTATAATAGTTATTATAGTTATATATATAATAATATAGTTATATATATAATAAAACTATAATAGTTATATATATTTATATATATATAATATATATATATAATATTTATATATATATAATATGTAATATATGTAAAATTAAGTATATTTTTAAATTTCAAAATATAATAATATAAAGATTAAGCTTATAATAATATTTGAATAGAATAATAACATGATATAGTAATAACAACGAACAACATGTCACTATAGAAAATAAATTGAATGATGAATCATAACACTTAAGGGGTTAATAAATAAGGTTAAAACACTTTAATATACAACAACTTTCAAAGACCTTCAATCACACGAATATAATTAACACCTCATATATATTCACTATTTATTCATAACATGTTATAATTTTATAATTCTATAAAATACATTAATATTTTTGTCAAATTCTTTACGCTTCTTTTATTAAATTATATATTTTCTAGATAAAATCTATTTCTTTGATATTTTGTAAAATATAAAAAATATAAAAAATTCTTTATAAAACGCTCTACAAACATTTATAAAAAATGTATTTAATAGATATAAGCTTTTACCAGAGTATATTCTTTTATTAAATTATATACATCATTATTTGAAGAGCACGTGTATCTTAAGGAAGAACTTAGTAATAATGCACGAAAATAATTAATCTAGCAATGTTATAGTGATTCTTGTTATTTTTTCACTCAATCGTATTTGTAAAAAAAAATGATCTGTCATGGAGACTTCTAATGAACAAAATAAGTGACTTTTGAATAATTTTGTACAACGTATTATATTGTTCCAAAATGTTAGTCAGGACTTTTCATTACGACAAGTACCATCAATCATCTCTTTATTTGAATGTTCAACACACTTTGAATGGGAAAAAGAAAAAGATTTAAAAAGCATATGTTTTCTTCAAAGTTTGTGTAGTAACGATGGGTCAATGTCGAATGAATCACGATTCTAAGATGGTTATTAGAAATTTTGTAATTGTTTCACGACCTTTATGATTTTAACTATCGGTTTGCGTGCCTGGAACGGTTTCAACCAGTCTTTCGAAACTTCTGACAAACTTAAATTATGTAGGATCCTAAGGAGAGAAGTGTTAATTTTCGATGAGCTGGAAGAAAAATTTTTAAGAGATATGATGAAAGTTAAGATGGGTTGTCAAATATAACGAGGGAATATTTAGAAAATATGATCATCATAAATAAACGATTCGTTAAAATTCATAATTTAGAATAAGAGAAAGAAAAAAATCTAATATTTTTTTAATTTGTTGTTTAAATTAATTTTCATTTGTTATTGCTTTAAATCATTCTTCTTTAGTTTTAGAATTTTTTTCTATTTTCGTGCAATTTGTTTCCTTAACTTTATTTATATTTGCTAAAAAATTAAAAAATAATAGAAAATGATTATAAGAAGAAAGACTGTCAAATTTAAAAAAATTAAATACTAGATAGAAAATTAGATATTAAAATTATGAAACTCAAAAAACTTTCTCTTTGTGATTAAGTTATCAAAAATTATGAATCTATTAAATTTAAAAAAATGAATATTAAATAAAAACATTAAAACGATATTTATCCCTATTTGTATTAATTCAAAAATCTTGCAAAATACATTTACTATGTCATCATATTTATAAATATCTAAGAATATCTTGAAATTTCATAAAAAATGACATTGAGAAAAGAAATTTTATATGTTATATGTGCCCTTTCAAGCAGTTAAGTAAGATTATCCCGAGGATATTTTTCATAAAACTTTAAACATCAAGAACATTTGCATGTTTCTATTTAAATGATGAATCTTGTATGTAATAATATAATAATAATAATAATTATTATTATATACAATATTATATACAAAATTATATACATTATTATATACAAAATATTAATATATACATTTATATTCAAAGTACATTTTTTCATGATCGATTCTAAAAGCTAGAACAAATATAAGATATATTTGATATAAGATATTTTGATATACAAAAATTTCGCTTGAAGCTTATTTATTAAAAAAAAATTATAAGTAATTTGAATTAGTTAGATAAAGCGAGATAGGAATAAAATTCTCATTTTCTTTCTATCTCGCTTTATCTGACGTATAATTAATTCTTTAAATATCTCACGAATGTTCAATTTAATATCTTCTATAAAAGCATTTAAATTCAATATTGATCCATGATTTTAAGAAATTTTATGCATTTTGTTAAATGCAATAAAAAAAAACGTAATATTATCACAATGTGACTAATCGTATATTACGTAATTGCCATTTACCTTATGAAGATATGGAATATATATGTATATGAATTTTTCTATAGATATTCGAATAATAAAAATTTTACCGTATAATTATATATAATAATTAAGTAATATAAGCATCGACACACATTTAAAAATGTCTACTTTATTTAATAGCTTGGAACGCCATTATTGGCGTTGAAAATGTCTTTCACCTTAGACCTTTTACAAACTTGCTGTTTCGGATTTTCATTGAAGCTTCACTTTGCCAAGTTGAACGTATTTGCCGTGGAGTTTCGACACGTCTTCTGTCATGTAATCGATACCCTTCAAGCGATAACATTTTCTCCCCCGTGATAATTCTCGTGTTCTGCCGGTAAGCATGAAATTATGTCTGACTTTCGTAACTTCCGGCCCAAGAGCGATGTAGAACAAGTAAAATTGTAGCCATTGTAAAATTTAGAACGATAATTGGGTCTATTAAATTTTAACAATCGACAATATTTTTTTTTTGCATGCGAGAAAATTGGAAATAATTTTCATAATTAATTATATAATTTGTGAAAAAAAAATTGAGTAATTTGTGCAATAGAGTAAAAATTTGTGCAATAGACATGGAAGAATTTTGCATATAATTTAACTTATTGTTAGGAATTTTGAAAGCAAATTATAATTATTATTTAAAAAATAATTGCATGTAATTCTTTAAAATTATACAATAAATAAAATGATATTTGATGATGAAATGATAATTATTGTTTTTTCTCTTCGAAATTTTTAATATCCAATTCGTATTTATGAAATGTTATTTTTTCATAGTTTGATGTTTTATCGTTGATTATAATCAATATCATTAAAGGAAGAAAAAATTATATACTTAAATAGAATCTATAATTAAAACATTAAAATCTTGGCGTAAACAAATAATCAAAATATTCGTATAATTTTATTATTAAAATAGATATAAAAATATTTATAAAAAATACTTAAAAGATTTTCAAGTAATTTTTTTTGTTATTAAATTCTTTTAAAATGATCTTAATTATTTTATCACACTATGTTAAATCATCAAAATCAAACTGGAATCTTTTATCTTTCGATTTTTAATTATGCAATTGAGAAAAGTTTGTTAATTTTAATGAAAAAATGAAGGAAAATAATAAAGAAATTCCTTTTTCCATTAAACCAATTTCCATTAAAGTAGATATAGATTCAAGATGGCGATTATTACATCTATACTTAACCTCATTACTCTCTTGATGTAGCGCCACTTTTTTTAAATCCTTAATGAAATTGAAAAATAAACAATTCCAATTCAACGATAACATAGTTCAATTAGAAGGATTTTTGAACAATTATATGTAAAGAAAAGATAAAAAGATAAAATCTTATAATTATTTTATATTTCTGTTAATTTTATTATTATTTCCTGCCACACTTTATATATTTATTTGCGCTAATCATATGGAAGAAAGGTGAAGAAAAAAAAAAAGAATACTTTTCGGCAAAACGCTTTTTATTTATATACAAAAATCACAAGTTAAAAGTATACGTATAATATATACTATCGACGCTCGATACGTGTCTTCGCAGCTGCGATGGCGTCGTCATTTTTTCGCGTTTTACGTTTGTGAAAGCAGCGTGCGCGCATCGGCACGATCCTGTCGTAAACTGTTGAACAGTGCACATTACTTTCATCTATACAGGTAAGATAAAGAATCTCGAAGTATACAGTTATTATATACCGGCTGGCTCTCGCCTTAATTTTTTTTTTTCTGTTACATATAATCCTAGATTAATATACCACACTATATTTATTTTTATGGTCGCATTGGAGGCTCAGGGTCGGTTCTGTCCATGGCAAGCTAGCTCGAAATCAGGTCACGTTTGAGGTATTGGTTGGGCTGATTAACCTGTGGGACGGAAATACTGTTAATTGAAAATAGTTTCGTGTTCGTTAACGTAATTTTTGGTAGAATTTTTATGTTTTGCATGTAGAACGAGTAAAAAAGCACATTAGTAGGAAACAAAATGGCACGATTAATATTATTTATAATATTAATTATTTAATATCATCTTCTTCTTTTTATAAATAAACATTTACAAACTGGAAAACGAATTTATATCTGCTTGTTACTTTTTACTATAATTTATTCTATTTAATTGTCTAATTTATTTTCAATTATATATATACAATCATTAGGAATTTAATTTTAATCATATTGTTCCAAACAATAAAAAGAAGAAGAAAATTAGAAATTTAATTTTGATAAATATTACATTAATTTGAAAATAAAATACACATACAGGAAAAATTTTGTATTGAAAAATTGAAATTGAACTTAGATATTGAATAATTTACAATCTATTGTATGAAAAATTGAAGATTAGAAATTATCTTTTGCTATAAAACTTATATTTTAAAATAATTGAAAAAACCAGTGCAAAATTAATCCAATCTCGAAATCAATTAACATGTCTGATAAGAGTAATCTGATATCAATAATTTTTATTTTTATAATAATTTATAGAAATACCTTCTGTCATTGTTTGTGAGAAAATGCAACCTGTTTCTAAATTCATTTCTACTTAAAAAAAAAATAATCATTTTCGAGTTAAAATTCCCAATTTCCAAAAACTGAAATTATTTTATTTATTTTATTATTTCCTCTTCCTGCATGATGCGCCGTCCATTCTCAAATAGATTAAAGAAATAAACCACGAATGAAGATCGATTTAATCTATCGCTTATCACATACCTCGGCCAGGCGGTCGTTGTTGGCCACCATCGTCCTCTTCTGGATGAGCCGCGTTCCACTCGAGCGCCCTTTGAATCTCTGGAGGTATCGGTGGTGCCGTGGGGATATGAGAACCTTGCACTTGGAAGCCATTTTCGTCGGCTACGTACGTGATACTAACTTGTTGGCCATCAGGCGCTGTGTAAGAGTCAGAGCCTTGCGAGACCACCGGTGTCTCGTTGTCTACCTGTTTAGGCTGTCCTGATTCTTGGTGGCTGATCCCATTGCTCGTCTCGAAGCTGAATAACAATTATTCAAAACAAAATATTTTTGAATTGTAAGATCTTTGATTTGTAATATTTTCAATACATCAAGAAATTATATATGTTTAATCAAATAATAGGTTACGTTAATGGATTAGGTTAATGTATTTTTGTCCTTATTTAAATATACTTTTTCAAATTGCATTAATAATAAAGGAGAAAATAAAGATAATTTTATCATTTTTCAAATTATTTTTGATAAAAAGTATTATTTATACAATAATAATTTGTAGAAGATGAATATATTTTGTATTTATTTATAGCCTTAATATGTTGTAAGAATATTTTAAGAAATTGTAGAAACAAATTTAACTTCTTTAACTAAAATAAGAGATATGTAAGAATTAATATACTGATTGCATATACAACATACAAAATATTTAAAATTGCAAAAATAATCACTGTTGTAATAATTGATATTCAGGTGACAGGTAGATATTAATTTTTGAAGAATTATCGCTTAATTGACACTTAATGCTAGTAAAAGCTCTAGTGAAAGCTTCCTTTTCGAAATAGTGTACTAATGTTTCATCAGCACTGCATTTAGATTCATTAACAGGATACTGATACCTGATGCTGTATTATCAGATATTCAACGATGCTAAATACACCCGATATTGATAATAAAATAATGAAATAATAATGAATATTGATAATTTTGAAATAATTTTCTGAAAAAATACATTCGATTTTATTATATGTAATTTCATAAATTTTTGATTTTTCTAAATAAATAAAATTTTATAATTTTAATAAAAGAATAAATCTAATTAAATAAAATAAAAAAATTGCTGGAAAATAATCATTATTATCAATTAAATTCTATAGATAAAGGATAAGTATTAATTTCTATAAAATTATATTCTAATCGAAATAAAAATAATTGATAGAAAATAATTAACAATTGTATATTAAAACTAAACGTATTATTATAATCGAAGGAAAAACATTCCATCTGGTAGTCACTTCTATCTACACTATGTTCTTATGCAGAACAGAGATTTCAGTGAGCGACAATTGCGGATCATGTGAATAAGCCAGCGCCATTGGACTCAGATACCTGTTATCCTATGTCCATTGTGTTCAACGTCTGTGATTACTTTGCTCGTTGTACGCCCGTGTGGCAGCAACAGGGAGTAAAGATCTCGTTCCGATTTGTTACATAGTAAAACAGTGGACATTTCAACTTTGAACTCGATTTTCTCTACGTTTTCCGCAAGGCTAATTATAACCCAACTGATTTCGCATGAAACTATATTCAAATGAGATAGAAATGGAAATGAAATTCTCTCATTGAAATGAATTAACGTTATATTAAATATTTTAACTTAATATAAAATGAGATTTTATGTGATACAATGATTTAATTTAAATTAATTTAAGACACTTGAAGATTCTTTTTATCGTGTCTGAATAAATATTCTGCATTTTTTAACATAAAAAATAGAAAAATATTGTTTGTTAATAACGAAATCAGTTTCATCATCGTAAATATTTTTTCACTTGCAACAATTTATTTCTTTCAACGGTGCTGTATCTCGTGATGTTCGTGTACTTACTTATTGACGTAATTGCCGTCAAAGTTGACTTCAAGTTGCTGAGATGTGATCACCGCATCTTTGTCAGCACCACCGCTAGGTCTTTGAGGGGCAGCTAACGTCGCTGTCGTACAAAGTACGACCGCCACTAACGCCTGAAACAATTTTTACTTCTCAGAATGATACAAAAATATTCGAATAAGAAAAATAATTAATTAATAATAATTTATACGTCATGAATCATATTAATCATAATACAATTTCTACTCATAAAACATCCTAATTTAACGTTTAAACTATACACTAGAAGAAATTACTAAATGTTTTTAAATTGTGTTTGATTATTTAAAACATAAAATCTGAAAAAAAAAATAGTTACAAAACAATACAATTGGATACTGATTGCGAATATATAAACCGCGCAAATCAAATCCATAATCGTATCTCGTAACGCGAATTATATAGAGAATGTCATTGAAAACAAACGTGCAAGCGAATCATTATCGTTCTCGAATAGAATCCGCGCCAATTAATTAATTGGAATTTGGAGTTTTTTAAACCTCGGGGGGATTGTTTCTCGTGACTGACAAAGCGAAGGTGGGAAATCCGTGGACCACGAGAAATGCCGATCCCTAACACCATTTACAAAACCTTTCGTTCAAATATTCATAGAATTCGTGAAAGTAACGCTTCGCGGCGATGGCGTGGCGCGGTTGCAAAGGGCAAGCGAGGATGATAATGCCTGGAGACTGCACGACACGCGGTTACATCAGTTGCAAATGACATTATGAAATACAGCGTAATGATAGGACGAAAGTGGTACCCGTGTAATGTGCCCGTTTTTCTCCTCACGACCGTGGAACATGTAATTTCATTCAAGAATCCCAACAGCCCTGAATTTATCTGCCCAAAGAAAAATTCGCGTCCTAAATGTCAACCTGATCAGATCGCTTTTCGTCGATGACTTTTATCGACCGTAGATATGTGGATAAAGAATCAAAATCCGAGGTTTTAGATATTTTTAAGATGATTTAAATTGATACTATAAGAGAAACAATTTCATTTTTAAAGTTGTAATTAACCAACTCGAAATTTTATTCGAAACGTTATCACATAGAGTTTAAAGACTCCATTTTGTATTATAAATTTTCTTCTTTTTTAAACTAACAATTTAAAAAAATAACAAATTATGTTATATTTATGAAATTTTCTTTCCAAGTATCAAAGAGATAACAATAATTTTTAAATATTCTGAGATTACTGCAGTATTTTTTAAAATTGAGTAAGTAAATTAATTAAGTATCATCCAATCTGGAATTAATTTTAAAATTTACTATCGAGTCCAAAATCAGACGAATTTCCAAAAAAATACGTTTCACGAAAGATAAAAATTTTCCTGTTAACCTCCTCTTATTGCATGCGAATGACAAAGTAATCGATACGGCCAAAGATCGGATTGCCCGTGCCCCTTAATCCAGTCCATAACGTGTTTCTAATTACCAATTACGAGCAACAGCGCCACATCAATGGAACGTTATACGGGACGAGATTTCATTCTCGTAACAATGTAATCGATATTTCGATTCTCCTTGACCGTATGACCGAGCTGGAACAAGTGGTCGCTTCCTACGTGTTCGCCGCATAGACAATGGAACGCGCGGAAGGCCAAGAGAATCCAGTCACCAGCCAGTGGCGAAGAATAGGACAAGGAAGGAAATCGGAGAGGCCTGCCTGAGGATACAAGCGGACGTAACTTATCGTGATTTCTCTTGATCCAAGTCGATTGTTTTTTCGTAATTTTCGGATACAAAACTCTAGAGAGTGGTATCTTTTTGCATTGCACGATTTATTTTCGTATAGAAAAATATTTATTCTTAGATAGTTATCAATTCAATTTATCAATTCAGAAGTTTTACTCTCAACGCGATCTCTATTTCGAAAAATTTCTTAAGATTTTTTTTTTCAACATACTTTTGAAAATATTTGAGAAACAAAAACTGTTCTCAAATATTCTCGAAAGACAGTTTCATTTTTAAATAAAATTTTAAAATAAATTAAATAGATCGTTATTTGATATTTTAATATCATGAGCTCCAATTATAGTACAACTCAACACGAAAATGACAAAAAGTGGCAAGTTTCACAGTGAAGATGGAGTTAAATACCGGTGGCTGTAATGACGCACTGTCCATCGACTCTTCTCAACGTGCAATCAGACGGATTATGAAAGAAGTGGAGAGATGCGGAGGCGCATCTTCTTTTTATTTATTAAGGTCAAACGATCATCGTGGGGAGACACTGTCTGAGAGATATGCCGACAAGTTTCGATACGTTCGAACGTTGATTGTCAATTTCGCTCTTCCGTCATGGCAGTAGAGGTAACGATATTGGTACATATTGGGTTTGAAATCGAAAATCTAACTCGAAACTATTTTCTGCCTTCGACGATAACTTTTTCCTCGATTTTTCCTATATTTTTCCTTTTTAATCTGTGTTTTTAGGATGAATATATACAGGATGTTAATATATTCGTGGAATATCTTTGAACGTTCGATTTTACAAAAATTTTTAAAACGAAAATATTGGTTAAGGCTTATTTATTAAGTTTTAAAACTTAGAAATAACCTGAAAAAGTAACTTATTAAATAAACTTTTTGATATTTTTTATCGTCAATTTTTGTATTTAATTTCTAGAATCTAGATTTATAAAAGAGTTCTATATATATTAACACTCTGTAAATGCATTTTATCTTTTTATTACGATATATATTTTACTCGTTTTTAATTGAAGATAATGTTATATTGCAAAAGAATTTTATTTGAATCGATGAAAATGCATTGCTTTTTAAAGATATAATATGCTAAAAATACTAAGTGATGTTTGATAAATAAATAAATATTGCAATATTATGAAATATTTTAATGTCATTTTCTCTTTCAATAAATTTTAAATATTTTCTATATTGAAATATCGAAGATTTATTAATAATATTTCAACATTTGTGAAACATTTTTCTCTCCTTTTCTATCACATTAACGCTTTATTTCAAATATTGCTCTTTTAATAATCGTCTATGTACGTGCAAACATTAAAGCTAATTAAATCTACTTCGAAACAAGTAAAGCTATTATCTTCTTGTCATAATATGCAATCATTTGCAATCTCGGATGCGGAAGGATAATTTCATGTTATCGAAACTGGTGAGAAATTTTAAAATTTGTTATAATCATATATACATAACGTTTGTGTAAACAGTTATTAAAGATTAGTCTTCAAAGAAATAAATTCCTCGACAATTCAAATTTTGAGTTTCAATTTAAAAAAACAGATTTGTCAATTTACTTGAGATTCAAATATTTATAGAATTCAATCTTTTTACTTTATTTATTAAAGTAAAATAAAAAATTATAAAAAAATTATTTATTAATTATATATCACAGATCAAATTAAATTTTTCAAAAATTTAAAAATTGTCTTTACAAAAAGGACGAGATAAAATTTACTTAATACATTAGTAATAATATATATTTATAAAATTATAAATATAAAATATTTAAAAACAATCATCTTATTATCCAATGAAATAGAATGCCTTCTCTTTGAACAAAAAATTATTATATTTTTTTTGTTCTTTATTTCTTGTTTAATATTAGTTTGTTTATACAGTAACTCGTTACTAGTCTACTGAACAAAATAACACAATTGGAATTCACGCGTCATTGTACACAAAAATATTCGTTTATGTCACGTTTTATTCCATTGCAATTGTCCTACCTCGAAGAAAAAGGTGTCGACACGAGTATAACATGACGCAATCGCGCTAGTCGTTCGTCGCTCGTAATTGTTATGATAATTCTATTCTTAATTTCACGCCTGTCCTCTGTTCCCTCGTTCGAATTCCGTTAATTTTGATTGTATGCAATCGCAACACCGATCTTCGAACGCCTCCTCTCTTAATACTGCATCGAGAAGGAATCGTCGATTTGAAAAATGAGATACGCTTACAGCGTAAAAAAAAAGAATAACCTAACCTAATCTCTCGTAAAAAAATTTTATTTCGATTCTATACTAACATTTTCGTAATTTTCAAAAAGAAAAAAGAAATTTTGAAACCTTTATCGAATCATTAGCAGAGTATTATATTTAATAGAATATATTTGAAATTCAATTCGATTAACATGTTCGTCGTTACAAGAATATAGGTTATGTAAAATTTTTACGATTTATCGCGCGAACGAAGAAGGAAGGTCAATTCTTTTTTCATTAAAAAAAAAAAAAAAAAATTTTCTACGAGTATAATATTTCTGTAATGTACACAAGAGAATGTAAGTATGTTAAGATGTCTTTAGCTCATTGCTAATAAGGGAATAATGAAAACACCGATTTGCCACGGAGGAAAGGGAAAAGTTGTATTTGCAATGCGAATGACATAACGATAAATCGTATAAGCAAGTATTAATCGATTTTAAAATTATTCTGATGCAATATCTAATTCAAAAATTACACGGAGAAAGGATATAAAGTTTTTTTCGATGAACGAGACATTCGTGTGTGAGATTTTTGAACATGAGAAAATCAATTTTAATTTATTTGTCATTATTTCCGTGATATGTCGATGCAAAAATTTTAAATATTCACATAACTAAATTTATTTCATTGCGAATATAAAAAGAATATTAAAGTTTGTTATGTTCCATTATTTCTCAAAATTAATTTCTCAAATTCTTAAAAATATACAAAAAATTTTTGTAAAATAAAATGTAATTTTAAAAATAGCGAGAGAAAGAGAGAGAGAGAGAGAGAGAGAGAGAGAGAGAGAGAAATTAAATCTTTTTTATATCTATGTTGAATCAATTCACGCGGAAAAGATTTTATTACCACAATTCACGAAGTATCGAATTTCGGCGGGAATTTCAATTTTGAAGGATAATATCCCACGAGCACGATTACATTTCGTGTACAATTTTTTTGAAAACACATATTGATAAGAAAAAGCGTTCCGTTGTCGCGTTTCATGTTTATCTCGCGCGTTTTCAGCTAAATTTCATAACGACGCAACATCGAGAATAAAGCGAAACATTATCACATTCGTGCAGCGCGATACGAGAGGGAAAAAAAATCGGAAAGATGAAACAAAATTGCACGATACGAAACACGATATTACATCAGTCGAAACAAGCTTGAACCGCATCCGCCGTTTCTTCTTTGCGCGAAATAACTATTCCTATCATTAACATAAAATTATCAAATGTTCACTCATCGAATAACTTTTCAAATTCTAAGTAAAAATTCAAAGTAATCGGGCAAGAAAAGAATTTGATACTATTCATAGTTTCAAAAAAAAAAATTGCATAAAATGAAATTAATAATATTTGATTTAAAAATCAAAACACTTTTACTTTCAAAAGCAATATCTCGATACCCACGAATCTTTCTCTATACTCATATCATTAAATTAAAACATCAAAGTAAGAGAGAAAATCGCGCATGCGATATCGCGAAAGTATGTCGATTTTGTCCCATAACCAGCGCGTATCAAAACTGTCTCGTGATTGAACACCGATTGTAATTCACGGCCGGAGTCGGTGGCGGTTCAAGGGTTCAACTTGAAGGATTTAACTTTCCGTGTGAAATTCTCGCGGGCTACTGTGTTGTACGTACGCGTGCCTTACTACTCTACTGAGTACCTACCTTAATAGTGAACATAATCTCTCTCTGTCACACGGACACCGGCGATGAAGCGGTTAGGATGCAGATGGGTTGGTACTTGTGCTTCTTCGTCAGATGCTTCGCCTCTTTATATACACGACCGTAGCAACGTGGTGCAGTGAAAGGGGTCATCCCTGCCCTCTTCACAATGCACTTCTTCTGACCAGTGCATCTTCGGAAAAATGTGTTCGGATGAATCGGAGAATAGAGATTTTTCATCGTGACACGTGATACGCATAAGGATTGGCCCAGGATACGTACGTTTGATTTTCATGGTAATTAATTTCGTGGATATATATATGCATATATATGCATACTTTTTTTTTTCTTTTTCACGTTGGATGGATTATGAATGTTCGACGCAGATTTGTATTTTTCACGTCGTCACGGAAGAAGAATCGATATGGCTCACAAAGTTCAAATGTTTCGAGAAAGAGACAGAAAGCAGAAATCAAAAGGCGAGTAGTGGATTTGTTTTTATAGATTGGACATAGGAGTTTTTTTTTTATATTTATATAATTTTTGCTGGTTGTTTAAAGCGATTGATGTGATAAATGGTTTAATCAGAGTTGAATATATGGGGAAAATTTGTGCTCAATAATTAAAGCGCTAAAGATGTAGTCTAAATGAAATGAAATTGAAATGAAATTTTATTTATTCTTGGATATATGGATATTGAAAGCTATAGAAGAAATTGTAAACAAAGAGAAATTTGAAATGGAAAATTCAGATATGTTTTTCGAAAATAAGATAAAGAATATACGTGAATAATTGAAGAACGAATATGAAATATATAAAAATGGAAATTAAAAATTTTTTTTATTAAATAAAAATATGTTGTAAATAAAATGTCTCGACAATGAAGCGAAAGATAAGATCATTATAAAACGAGCCGAAACTCGATATTCTTTTTTAAACAAAATAAAAAAAAATATTCGTAAAACAAAATTATAAAATATGGTATAAAAATTCTAATAAATTATGATTCTCTAAAAACAATGAAGAAAAATAAATATATATATAAGAAGAAAGAAATTAAAGTGGTAAGAAATTAAAAATACACACGCAATTGTTCAATTTCAATTTTATCATACAACGATTATAAATGGAAAATGCAATAGTGTAACAATAATAGAAATCACATCAGATATAAAAGAACTAGGAAGATAATTGCCATTTATTACAAGGTTCTACCGGATATTTGTTGAGAATTTTTATAAAGTCGAACAAAACACGCTATGATTGAAAGTATAAAGGGATGCAGTGTCTAGGTCGCGTACAATTGTGTTAGGTTCGATTATACCGGAGGAAATCTTCGTTTCCTTGAATCGTTTGTATATACGCACGAGTCATGACACGTTGCATTATATTTGTGCGTGAGTATATTTGAGTTATACCGTGTCATTTATTAAAACTATGTTTACTTGATGCAACATTAATTTCCTTCAAATGTAATCTTCGCACCTTTAAAATCTTTTTGCGAAATTAAAATTCAAGATAGTATATTAACGTTTTAATAATAGTAAGAGAAAATAACGAATCGTTATTCTAATTTTTACACGAAACGTTAATACATATGATATTTTGTACAGTATGATATTTTGTTAATAATCCATTTGAAATTGACAATGAGATTTGAAAGATTACGTTTTTTATATTTAATATTAAATTCTTTGATAACGTATAAAGTGAAAGTTTTTTATTAGCAGAAACGATATACGTCTTTTCATAGAACTATTTATATCTACTATTTAATGTAATTCTTAGAATTGAAATTTCCATTCACGGTTTTATAGATTTAACGTAATTTATAAAACTCTTTTCTTCTCGATCAATTAGCAATCTTCGAAGAGAATAGGATTTATTTTATTATATATACCTCCTTTGATTACAAATTGTTTCAATTAATTATATTCGTAAATAATATCAATGGGAATTAATCGTTTAATAATTTTTAAAAAGATCTTCCTCTTGAAACATTTCGAGCAAGCGATATCGATACCAAATCCCCAAAGCACAAAGCGTGCGGTCAATGCCGTCGAAATCGAATTTTGGGAGAAACTTAAGTAAATTTGCCAGGATTTTCCATGATATTGGAATATTGGCGTTCTAATGCATCGATGTTCTGTTTAACCCTGACATTTCCGATGTAAGTTGCAATCGACGATAATGCATCAACGACTATTTACACGTAATTTTCATAAATTCACCAATAATTTTCTTTCTTACCTCATCGGGTAAATGTAAAAATGATTAGAAATAATTATGATAATTTATGATATAACTGTCCTTATAAATTACCATATGTGCACATATTTATTGTTTTTATTGCAAGTTTAAGTATATGAATAATATGAAATAAAAGTTACATTAATCTACTAATTTTATTTAAAAAAAAATCGAATTATACATCGTTCATAAAAATGAATGAACAAACTAGAAAAAAAAAGAATGTTAAAATTAAAGGAAAAAAGTTCTATGAAGATAAAAGTTCTAAAAATCGTGTAAGAATCGTCAAGTTATCTTAAATCGAAATCCTCGCACGTTATCGAGAGAAGTAGTAATTTCGCATATCTCGTGCATCGATTTCATTCTTCTCTTATTCCATCCGTTTACAGCCTTGAACAAAGCGGGTAATCTGCAAGACGCTTCTTCGGTTTCTCGTTACGTGATGGATTTGATCTCGTAATGATCAACCGTTGCAGAATCAACTGTAAGACGAATCCAACGCAAAAAAGGTGTAACGAATTTTTCTTTTCTTTTTTTTTTTTTTATTACTCTTCGTTTCCTGCGAGCGAATATTGATATTGAATGGCTGGATGCCGAGAGAAAGGTATATTGTTTCTCGTGGACATGGAAATTAATGGTTCGGCCATCGATTCACCACTTAATTATTGGAATTTGCACGAATCCGGACATAATGAATAGAATTGTTGGCTCTGTTGGATACACATGTCTGACACGAATCTCGGCCGCGAAATGAACCGAATTCTTAACGAGAAATTCGCTTCGAAGGCGTATGCTTTTTCGTTTGTGCAATTGTTTACTTTATTTGCATAGAAATGAAACGTGGGATGGAACATGAGGAATGATGTAAATGTACGTGTTCAAAGTTGTTTAATAATATTATGCGTATAGTTCTTAAGCATAATACCTATACTTAAGCATATTACCTATACAAAACTGGGACATGGTATTACTTTCGTAATTATAATTTCGAATGTGTATATATATGCATTCGTTCAACAAAAAATTCATCGCGAGATGCACACGATTATTAAATTTATATAGATTTTTATGTAATATTTTCGAAAGGTACGATTAAATTTTCGATTATTTCCAAAAAATGCCAAAATTATCATCTGCATATGTATTTTTCGGCGATGAATTGTATTATTCATTGCTCTATTAAAATGTTAATTAATTGAGAGAGATATTTTATTTATTAATAGCTTTTTATGTAGTATTTAAAAAAAATTACAAATTTAGTTACGGTATTATAAGTAGCCATTGATATTATATCTACTATATCAAATTGTGTGTTAAGACAAAAGATTCCCTTGCGAGAAGATCAGAACCGAGAAGAAAAGAATAATAAAATTAAAAGACGATAAAAATAATAGTGATGATGAAAGTAATAATAATAGAAATAATACAAATATTCATGTTTATTACCAAGATTTTATGTTCCATCCAAATTAAACAAAAGATGAGGTACAATGCTTTAAGTGGATTCGCGTGAATTATACTAGTTAGGAGGAATCTGAAGAATTGGATTCTATTGTTATAAATGTTAGAGCCTATACCAGTTATAGTCGAAACATATTTAAAATTACTATTTAATAAAAAGACTTTTAAATCCTAATTCCTTTTTTTTATTTTATTTTATTAATTCTCATACTAATATAATATAGGTTAAATCTAATACAAATATATTTTCTTTTATGTATTTTATATTTTTTTTTATGTGAAAACTTTTCTCTTCTCGCTAATTCAATAGATTTTAATAGTTTAAATTAAATCAGAAGAAGATCAATTGTAATAGATAATAATATTTAATTAAAATATTATTATTACAATTGATTTTATTTTATATTATTCCCATCACATTACTTAATCCAGAAATTCACCAAAAATTCAGAGAGGATTAAAATTGTAAAATTTTATTTTTAGCATTTTGATTATATTGCCGATCAATTGCAGTGGAAAGGATATATTCTGATACGAGATTAATTAACTTCTCCATTGTATCGTTAATAATCATTGACAATTATTGTACACCATGAATCATTGTTATCGTTCATTGTCAATGATTAGAGGATCGATTCTCGCGACAAATGCACGGTTCACTTCTCTCTGATTCTGATATCTCTTCTCTCGATGTGTAAAACGTTTTATCTCTGTACAAGCATCTCTGTACGAGTAACGTTAAACGTACCCAGATATCATCAAAAATTGCAATGTATGAAAAATATTGTAATACGCATTTTCAAAATTCTTCGAGTATAGTGTGAAAGACTTTGGTAAGACTTTAGCAAATATGTATCTTTAGCAATTACTTTTGCCAACTCTTGTTACTCTTTGTACATCAATTACCGTTTTATAATATTTATACAGCGTATAATTTTATCATATTTACTTTACTACTGCTACTACCGTTACTTTATTATAAAATATAATCAAGTTTTATTAATATATAAAATTAAAAGACAAACTTGGAGAAAGCTATAAAATAATGATATTTATTATATATGCTAATTTAAGTATAATTATTTTTTTAATCCTTTTTAATCCTCCAAAAAAAGATCTAGGAAAATCTACAAAGATATCGAAACTTAAAAGATCAATAGGATCCTTTAGATTGATTTTTTAAAATTTGATATTGTAAAAAAAAAAGTTGCAATGAAATATTCAATTTTACCAGATTCAACTTATCTAAGAATTAATATTTCCATAATGACAAGGTAAATTTCTTTATTATCATTTAATTATAAATTTTTTATAAATTATAAATATATCGAACTTCTGAATTTTTTTTTTAATTTTCAAATAATTTTCAAATTTTCTTTAAAAGTAAAATTCCAAAAGTAAAATTCACACACAGAATTATTTAAAATCGATAGCGAAATGAAT